CTGTGTGTAGGATGTTATCGGGATTTTGTATGCAGTCATAAATTTTATTCTCAGTTAATTTAAAAAGTGCAGTGCTCAATAGTTCAATAGTAGGTAGGTTGAGCTCATTAAGTATATTTGCAAAACTTATTATGCCTGTTGACGTGTGGTAGAATTTTTTAATTTTCTGCAGACAGGGTATGGATGTTTTATTATATACGAGTATAATAAGAATGGTTGATCTTCAGAATTATTAGGGCTTTCGTATCGTTTAATAATCTCTTTGCGCTGTTTTTCATGCAGTTTATGATTTTAAGTAGAGCTACTCGTTTGGAAAGGCCACAACATAAGTCTTCGACTTGATTGTTCCAGGTAAACTTCTGATCAAGGATTATTGTTAGAATTTTTAGGTAAGAGATTTGTTCAAGAGTATGATTTTAAAAAACTACTTCCACTTCTTGCTTACATGTAGATATTTACACTTTTCAAAATCAATAGATTAACCTGATGTTAGTGACCAATGTGCAGATGAAGTGGTTAAGTTTTTCAAATAATTATTGTAAGTGTTAAGATCATTTATCTTCGAAATAAAATAAATAGATATGAGAGATGTTTGTGATGTTTTTCATTAAAGCATGTAAATTTTTAGATGGGATTAGATATAATGCCAATTTTATTAATTTATGTCCTTTTACGTTGATTACAAATCTTCTATTACAATGCTTTTGTATTGTTTTAGATTTTGAGACCAACTCACGAAAGGCCTTCGTAAAATGAACACTTAATACAGAGAAATGGTTTCGAGTTGGTAGATATTTCGCAAAAAGGTGAATTAGGTGCATAGTCGGGTCCATAGTGCCTAACTTTGGTTTAAACGCATTTTGTTTCCTACCAAATAGTTTGTTTTGAATTAAAAAGTATTGTATTCTTGTTGTTATTTCTGGGCTCATCTCTACTACTAATATTTTTTGTATCCATATTATGTTAAATTTTTTCCAAAAAGGGAATATGCCAGTTGTAAGGATTAAGCTGTAGGCATTTTAGTACCAAAGGTGTGTTTAATCACATCATAGGTTAGTCTGTGGGGTCCGAGACAAAAGATTCTTAGTATTTTGAAGGTCTTTGATATCTTGTTCAGTGTGTATACCAATTCGAAGAATTTTTTTTTTTGCGGCTAGGTATTTATCTGAGCATTCTTCATTTGATGAAACCTAGGCAGAGTAAGTGGCAAGTATTTCAACAATCACGAGTGCTTTTTTTTCAAAAGTCCATGGATTTGCCAATGAAAGCTTTTACTATTCGCCAAAGTTTTTGTATTGATATGCGCAGTCAATTTCTCTTGTTTTTCTTTTTTTCAAAAAATTTTTAATTCCTGAGTTCTTCCAGCTCTTTAGTATTTAGATTTTTAGATTGCAAAATATTTACACTAGTAGTTCTTCTTATATCATTCGTTATGTCTTTCGTCTTTTTGTTGATGTTGTTGGTATGCATATTGGATTTCTTCAATTTTTAGTCTCTTGCTGTATTGAACCTTGGGTTATGGATTGTAGTCGCCATATTTTCTTTATAGTTGAGTATGAACACAACCAAACATATCGACCACTGAGTAGTATTTGGTGGTAGGTAAATATTTTTAATAATTTCAATTACGTTTTGGTCTTGAAGACCAGTAGTTATTTCTTTTTCTGTACGATTTATTATTGCGCGAGAGCCTGGTAAAGTCGACGTTTGGATAAAATACGCACCTAGAACACACGGTTATGTTTATCTTCGGCAAGATGTTAATTGCGACCGTCCGATGTAGCAACAGCTGGTATAGACAGTATCGCATCGTTCATAAAGCAAACGAAATGATTCGCACATCTCAGGATAAAGTGCCCTTCTCATTCAACTCTAAACCAAATAAATTGTTATTTCACTGGTGTTTTGCCTCAACGCACGCGATACAGACACATTTATTTCTAAGAGGTACTGGTCAGCATCTCGACACTTTGACTCTTTAAATCAAAACACCTCTTTGATTTTGAGTCGAAAATCCAAATCGATGCGAAATCAATTTCGATCGGACTTCAAAACAGACACGATTATTTAACTTTCTTTCATTTCAATGGTTTTAAAATATCTTTATGAAAATTGATCGTAAGTAAGTGTTTATGTTGAGATCTCTATCAGCTCATAGTCTTAATTAGTTTTTTTGCTTCGAATTTTCGATACTCTTAGTAAGTGAATTTTTAAATCGTATCTAATATTAAGTATAGTATATGAATATTTGGGACTATTGACCAATATACTGAATATGGCATTAAGAAATTTGTTCTATGATTTAATAGCAGATAGCTTTATATTCATGAGTTTTTCCTAAGAAATAAGGACGCTAATAAGAAGTTTTAAAACAAGTACATACATGCATATGTATGCATGTATAAATTTATGTCTGAAAAATAAAAGACAAAAGTTTCTTTGCTGTTAACTTGGATATAGAGTCCACTAGGTGTGCTGCAGTCACCCGTTAACATGGCAGATGAGCTTTTCTGTTAAGAAAGCATCAGTCTGCTGAAGTGCATAAGAACTTGACAAGTTCCACAATAATCTGATTCCAAATGGTTCTTGAAAAAAGTTTTAAATTTCATAAAATGCTTTGTTTGTAAATATTTTAGGGGATCAATATTTATTTACATGTTCTTTAAACTTATATCATAAAATTATTTAAGAAGCGACGATCTCGATTTATCTCAAATAATATTTCTATAATCTATTATATGTGTATATACATATGAATTATTCTCGTGCCACGCTCTTTCCGGGTTGATCCCAGAAAAAATACGTCATACAAGGTGGGCCAATTACCCATGGGTACGTTGAACTATCTTTTATAAGGGGCCATTAAGAAAAAGTGCTACATCAAGTATCCAGAAATTAGTTATGACGAGAAGCAAGAAAGTGATGTCGCCTTTGTAGTCATAGGGGCGAAATTTTTAAACAGATTTTCACAATCGAAAATCGGCGGACCAAAAAGTATATTGAGACATTTCTATAACGGGTTTTTCAATAAAAGTGATACGATTTTTTTTTAAATAAACAAGCACACTAATTGTTAAGGAAATTCAAACGTTTTTTTATTTAATGAGAAGTAGAATCAATACAATTAACGGCGTAGACACCGCTTACGCTAAAACTCCCAAGGCCGACTCATCAGATCCATGCTTCCACACCATATAGCAGGACGTGAACGATGAGGGACTTATAAAGTTGGAGATATTTCGCATTGTCCTCGTCTACTACTAGACCCATATCCTTCGCTTCCTTATCCAGTCTGGAGAAAGCAAAACTCACGGCGCGGTTGTCGAGGCCCAGGATCCTATAGAAAAATGTACCTTCTCTATTATTTGCTCCTGTAATAAATAAAAGAAGTCATACGATAAGGAATCACCCTGTCTGAAATCTCGTTTGTTATCAAACGGCTCGGAGATGTCCTTCTCGATCCTGACGGAACTTTCGCTGTTGTTTTAAGTCAGTATACATAGCCATATAAATTTTACGACGATACCGAATTCAGGCATAGTGGTGTAGAGGCAGCTCCTTTTCGTAATGCCGAAGACTGCTCTAAAGTCAAAGAAAAGTTGGTGTGTGTCGATCCCCGTCTAGGAGGTTGTACACTGGGTAGACACCAGCTCCAATGAAAAGTACTGAATATAAAATCATTCAAATGATCTCCACGACTTCTTTTGCAGGAAAGAACTCGCTCTTTTCTTTTTCTTCTCCCTTGGAAGATCTCCTGATATTTTCAAAATAGAAGTGTAAATTTGTCAATGTGTTTATCACCCATTAATATTGAAAATCTTTATTCTTTCTTATTTAATGTACTTTTAAAACCTTTTTCTACTTACTTACATACTTTCATACTATTAGTAGAATTTTATAGGTAGCTAAATAGTTTGGTTCTCTCCACTCCGGTACGACAATCCGACCTTATAGATAGTTATAATTGTAATAATTGCTAAGAATCGTAAACGATATATGTATATATATGTATAGATACATATACAATACATGCTTAGCTCACATTGTCGGAGATTTGTACAAAAGAATATTTGGCATTGATCAATCAAGTCATAACCGTTCGCATAAGACATTAAGATATTTTGTATTTGTATAAATGTATATTCATATGTAGATTTGTTATTAATTTTGTTTCATATTTTAATTTTGTTTCTGCAGGAAAACCTGCCAATCCTGCAAATGTCCACGAGAAGGGCACGCCATTTACCAGCAGCAAACCACAACGGTACATGAACGCTTAGGTTTTAAGGTGGTATCACCGGCAGATTCTGGTGTGGAGCCGCGAGACCTTGGCTACACTTGGGTACCGCCTGGCATACGTGCATCTTCGCGCATCAATCGTTACTTCGAACAATTGCCCGTGGACAAGGTCCCTAAAATAGGTTCGGAAGGAGCGCGCTATCGAGAACAACAAATTGCCTATCAACTACCCAAACAAGATTTGTCAATTCAACACTGTAAGCATTTAGAGGACCAACACCAGGCATCATTTGAAGATTTCGTGACGGCGCGTAACGAAATTGCATTAGATATTGGTAAGAAAATGAATCAATTTTATATTATCCATACTAATTTAAACTAAAATGACGAATTAATTCTAATAATTCGCATCCAATTTAATTTATCTAAGGTTACATTAAAGATGCGCCCTACGATGAGCACTGTGCGCACTGCGAGGGCGAGATCAATACCGGTGAAATGGTGGTGGCCGCGCCAAAGTTTGTCGAGAGCGTTATGTGGCATCCGCGGTGCTTTACATGCAGCACATGCAATGAGCAGTTGGTAGACTTGACATATTGCGTGCACGAAGACAAAATTTATTGCGAACGACACTATGCGGAAATGTTGAAACCACGCTGTACTGGCTGTGATGAGGTAATTGAAAATACCAAAGTGATTCTACTTATCGCATACTCGACTGGGTCATTAAGGGGTAATTTGAAAAATCACTCACTCAACAAATAAAGAAAATGCACCAGCTAAAGGCTAGGTATTCACATTAAGAAATATTTAATTTAATTACATTGGAAATTGTTCGCTTTCATGTCAACTGGCCATATGAAATTTCAATTGAATCGCTCGTCATGTAACAATTGGTAATCTAAGACTTTGTTCGCTCCACACCCACTTACCTGCTGATAGGTATGCAATTAAAAGCTGCCTACTGGGAGCATTATCTTCTCAGTTTAGTATGTTTATCGCAGTTAAATAGTGTAAGTGTCTTTGTGGTAGTTTTAATTTATATTTTAACGTTTCTCTTAACTTAATTGGTTTTAGATGTTTTTTCATACAAATACATTCGCAATAATTTGCTTACGCTTGAAGTAATCCGATATATCTACCCAACCACATCAGTTTATACATACATCTTTGACACTCTTGTACTCACAAGGCAGACAGACGGTCAATAGTATTTTACTTTGAAGTTTTCCTATCCGATTTGGGCATAGGAATTGAATATTAGAACTTGGGAAGGTAAAAATTAAGTACCGTAAAGTTTGCAAAAACAAAATTATAAGAATTGTCATTCATATGTATGTACGTATATATTTGAAAAAAGCAGGTAAGGAAGACTTAGTTCGGGTTAAACCAAAAATAAGGTACTCGGCTGTTCTTTATTCGTACTGTCATTTGGAAGGCCGGTCCCAGTCTGACCAACATCCAGAATTATGAAAAAATTATTTTTCTAATCCCGGTCGCCCCTCGCAGGGATTTTCTAGCCCTCCGAGTGAATTTTTCTTTTATTATACAAAAGCTCCTCATAACAACCCATCGGCCATCTAAAGACCGCTTAGAATAAATAGTGTTGTAAAAACAACATGACGCATACCACAAATTGAAGCAGCATCTCAGTCGAAAATAGCTTCAGTGGTTACAAAATGTCAATTATATGTATGTATCTATGCCTATAAATGGGTAAAAAGTGAGCACGTTGTGCAAAACAATTTAATCAAGGTAAAAGTGCTGTCAAATTTATTGTATTGAATCCTTTAATTAAATATACATTTTATGTTTATTATTTCGTTTTAACACATTAATTTAGTATTGAATATCTCAGTGAAAACGAATTGACCTAAAAATACTTAACATATCTTTCCTTAGTTCATTTTAAAAAAAGTAAACCATTAGAATACCAAATACGCTTTTACATGCTTTTTTAACCGCTTTATGACCAAAAACTTAAATTTGAAAATCGGTCGTATATACATGTATATACAACTTATGTTACGTGATCTGGGCGGTATCAACAAATGGCAGTGTAAAAAATACATTTGCGTACCAAGTTTAGTTGGAAAATCTCGAAAAGGGTATAAAAAAGGAATTTTCAGGCGAGAAATTGATTCAAGCGGGGTTTGAAAAGTAAAATGCCCGTTACACGAGGCAAAATCGTTATTGTTACCAAATTGCGTCCGCATACATATAACTCATTTTCATGGGAAATATGCTCACCTACTTGAAATTTGTTTTATTCTTCATATTTATACCTCCAATGTGATCATGACAAACCAATATGACTTTATTTCCACTTTTCATATTATTCAAAATTATCGTTAGATCGAAGGCACCCGTACGAACTAGTGAAATATGAATGAGTTACCAAGATTTCTTAATGAATACTTGAGCTGGTCATGTCATACAGCTTGATAACTCGTAGATATCCAAACAAACTAATACAATATACCATTGGCGTGTTGGTGGATATATTACTTGAAAATCTCATATTTTCCAAAAAATAACAAACGTTGTTTCCTCGCTTTTATGATTTGTTATAAAAAAAAAATTTTTGTGAATTTTATCAACTTACCTCTTATTAATTGTATTTTTCCCCTTTTTGCCATGTAAATAAGGTACAAAATATGAACCAAAACCGTTCTAGAAGACCTCAACTACTGTTAAGGTGATGTCAGGCACAACAACGGCGCATGTTACTGTCGAAGTTTTTAAATTTTCCAATTTTTGACATTTGCAACTCAATTTTCCATAACTGCAGAAATTAAAAACCGACTTGCTCAGGCTTTACAAGAAACATATTTACAAGGTTGTATGCAACACGTGTGCGATGTGGTTTTAAACATGTTGATTTTTCAAGCAAATTAAATTTTTTTTTCAAGTATATTTGTGCCAAAGTTGTTTCTTTAAATGGAATACATTTTTCTGAACCTCACACATTTGGCCTTTCGTGACCTTTCGTTAACCTCTTTGTACAGTCTCAACTAAAAGCACGCTCTAAGTTTGATTATTAGGACATACATACATATGTTGGTGTTGTGTTTTAAGAAGCTAAGAATTGAGCCTCCTTCTTACAAAAACGTGCGTGAAATAAAAATAATCAATTCATTTGCATATATACATATGTATGTATTTATAATAGCATTAATTATTGATTGATGTACTCGTATTTCGACAAAAGCATTTGATTCCTAAGACAATCGCTGCAATTGCATGAATGTTTGAAGATTTTAAATGAAAGTACACTGCGTTTCAATGTTAACGTCGGGGTATTGGCTATCGGTTTTGTTGTATCAATGCATCGCCAATCTCTCATTCAAAACATTGCAACTAATGCTTTGTTTCTTATACTTGGCTATTTGAGGTGTGCGTTGGACAAAATAACCATGACGCAGTACTTCGTCATGTCACATCAATCGTTGTTGTGGTTTCACTCAGAGGCGTCGTGATTCACCGGTCGCATTGCATTTTATTGTTTATAAAAAAAATTGAAAAAGATTTTAATTGAAAACGCAATGGGTTGCAACAAACACTTTAAATTAGACCCACACTCGGCAGTGCGGTCTGCGCTTGCTGCTGCTGGTTGATAACATCGTCCATTCGATTGCTCGCTAACCGATCGACTAAAACTGTGTAATATACATACGTACATACAAATGTACATATGCGATTAGAGTGGGAAAATTGCTTCCACCATTGCTGTCACATCTAATTTGCAAAAGCAATCGTAGCAGTCTATCTCGAATAAGTGGTCCATCCTTACCACAAGTGCTCGTCCATTACTCACGATTTGCAAGTGCTCAGAAATATATTATTAATAAAAAGTCAAAATCCATTTTAAATTACCTGAAATATATTGTAACAAAGTGGGAATTGTGTGTTTATATTGAATGAGGGGCAGTAGGGTGTGAATTTTATCGAACGCTGCCATAATTGCGTCCATATTTTTCATGTCTTGTGCCAAAAAATTTCAGGGCGTTTATTTGCACTTGAATCTCGCAAAAATAAAATATGTCTCATGTTTGAATAATAACAAAATTGTGTACATATTTTCGGAGAAATACAAATTTGTGTATACAAATTCATAAAGCTTAAGATTTTTAAAATTTTCTGTTGGTGAATTACACAATCAGAAAAACTGCGAATATAGTGTGGTGAGATTTATATAATTTCAACGCTTAGTAGAAATATTTTTGTGAAGAACATTTCTATGCTCTTCAGGGAATGTTCTCTGCAGAAATTGAGAGATCTTCGGCAGAGTATTGCAACGGTGGTGAATTTTGGTTTGCTGGGTCGAGTGTGCGTTAAGATTGTGGATACGGCGGTTGTCTGTATCGTCTAACGCTTCTATTTCGACCGACATTGCAATCCTATGTACAATAAAATTCACGTACGCTTTTCTATTCGATATTTTTTCACATTTTGGAAACCGGAATACTTAATAATATTTAAAAAATCTCGGAAAATATATTTTGGTATGTACACAAATTCCTGAATCTGAGCAACTGTATCAATAGTTACAACACTTTGACTTTTTTTAATAAGTCCATTAAAAAGGCAGTTAACAAGAAGATTATAAAAAATGGGAGACAACATTCTGCCCGAACTCGGTGATCTGGTATTCTCAGTGTTAATCGGTTATGCTGGTGCTTTGGAGTTTCTTTACGTCCTACGTCATTTATACCATTGGAGCTGTAGTCATGTGAATGCAATTAAAAATGATCCGGAAAGTTTTAAGCGGTTACAAGAACGGATGCGCAGTGAGCTGGCGGAAGCCGAGGCCAAAGAATTACAGGCTGGTATGGCGGTTATGAAAGATGGCATTCTCTACAAGGACGGCTTTCGAATCGGGAGCGAACAGCTGGCGCAGAATAGCCCTGAAAATAGTAAAAGACGCAAGAAAGAACTTGAGTTAGAACTAGAGAGACAACGAGAAATAGAGGAAGAGACAAGGAGGCAATTAGTCGATGCTGAGGCGCGATTAGCCGAAGAGCGAAAGAAGGCTGCAGAAGCTCTTGCTGCTCGCCAAAGAGAGGAGGAAGAAGAAGCAACTAAATTATTGGCAGTAGAATTTGCACGCAAAGAACAACAGGCAAGAGAAGAGGAGGAAACACGCAAAATAAAAGAAGCTGAACGAAAAGAAAAAGAAGAAGAAGAAGAACGACGACGTGAAATGCACGCTGAATCACTTAAGTTGTTTGAAGCCGAGAGGGAGCGTGAAAAACAGCAGCGCAAAAAGGAAATTGAAGAGAATGTAACTGAAAGTGGACTTATATTGATTGAAAAGCAACAAGGCGAGCCGAATGAAGCAATTACGGAGGTTAAAGATGGTCAACATGCACCTCAAAATGAAACTTTGGAGCATTCTAAACCAAAGGAATATAGTGAAGCGGATACCATGGGCAACATAATGCGATTGCTTGACTCCGAAAATGAGCGAAAAATACTTGAAAAGGAATTCGAAGAAACTGCATCACGAGAACGCTCTGAAAAATTAAGGATATGTGAAGAAAATGCTCGAAAATTTCTAGAAGCAGATAAAGAAATGGAAGAACTGCTGGAATCGGCTCAAAAGATACGACGTCACTCTGCAACTGAAAGTACACCGCAATCACCGGTATTCGAAAACCCTTGTGTTAAAAAAAGCATTAGTCCCCTCTCGGATATTTCTGACAGTGATTCCCATCGGTTTACACAAACCTTAAAAACACAGTTTGGACAAACCAGCAATGAGCCGTATTTGTTAAAAACGAGGTCGCTACTCTTTGAAAGTAAATCCGATGATACTCACTCATTTGATTCGCAGAGTGCTTTGAGAGCACAACCTTCAGAAGAGTATGGAACTAGCAGCGATGCAGCTATTGATAACACTATCGAAGTCCAGTTCGCACATTTGGAGCGTCAAGAGCCCGATGGTGGTGAAGATAATGACAGTCGAGTTCCAGCAAAGTATACAGACGATTATTTACGTTCATTGGATGGTATTAAACAACGTCCTTTAATTCGCGAGGATGGATCCGGACGCAGACGAGCTTTCAAAAAACGTCGTTCTAGTGGCAGCTCGAATTCCTCTTTCGAATCACGTACTTCGCGTGAAGAAGAAGTCAAAATGTTCACTTCACTAGAAGAGGAAGAGCTGTTGCCGAAAAAACTAGGTGAAGATGATTTTACGCCAATCACTTACTCCACAGAACCTTTATTAAGGGTAAAAACTCCTCGTCGACGTCATAAACGTAGCCCAGCGAAGGACGCCATGATTAGCGATGGAAATACTCGAAGCTCGGTAGAAATGCTTGAAGAAGAAACAGACACAAATCCATGGGGTGAAATTACACCTGAACACTACAAAGATACGCCCTTTTGGAAAAGAGAGAAATCCATGTCCATCGATGAGGAAGCTATTGAACTAGAATTATCTTCTACGAAGGCCGACGAAGAAGCAGACGATAATGTAAGAAACTTACACACTGCTTTATTATTTGAAAATCCTCCTTGTTCAAATAATGATGAAGCTCTGACAGAGTTGCAACTGCAGCAAGCTAAGCAAGTGCAGGTGAATCCCATATAACTTTCATTTTAAATGTTTTCGATAAAAATTTACATTTTTCAGAAAAATACAGAGCAGCAACCGGCTGATGAGCCATCCAGTGACATTCAACCAAATGTAAGTTTTCACACCACATGTAACAATTTAATTTTAATCACATGCAAAATCATTTAACACTGAAATGCTTTTTCCCACTAAACTTTATATTCATTCAAACAACCACGCACCCGCTTCGTCTATGCTTAACACTGTCGCTATTTAGCTTCAATTCGTACCAAATGCAGCAACCGGTTCTCCAATTTCTTGCAAAGCCGCTTCTCCACGTTTACGTCGCAGTCCGCGCATAGAAGAAATGGATCAGTATGAAGAATTATGGAATGCGACAAACGAACCCAATGCTCTGGAAGAAATATTAACACCCACGACGCCCTCGACTCCATCCATTATTCTTAACAAATCACCCGATATCGGACCTTGGCGCGACCAATATGGTCTGTTGATGGAAGGCATAAGTGATTTCTACGATTTTACCGCTTCAATAAATCCTTCCCGTTCACGATCAACATCGCGCCAAGCCTCCCCCTCAGCTTCTCAACCCGGTACACCAGTACCCAAAAATGTGGAGTTTGAACTTTGCCAAACTAGTGAAGATACCCTTGATTTATATGACGATACAGGTTCGGCTTTAGAGATGGATAAAAAAAGTTTAGTAAATTTTATAGAATCTTTTCAAAATGAATCTCTTCGGCTGCCTCAAGTTATTAAAGAACAACTGCAAAATGTTGCCGATACTCCTAATAAAACTAATGAGGAAATTGAAGGATCGCCCATCGAATTAAAATTATTAATTCAAACGTTGCCTAACAAAATTCAATCAAGACTTTCCGAAACTGTAGATGACCAAATCGAACATAGCAACGCACTTTTGGAAGCACCGGACCTGAAGAGTCCCAATATAGAAAGTCCTTCAAATATAACGGAAATACGAGGACTTGATGACATGGAAACATTGGTGCAGGAGCGATACGTTCGCACTAGGTCAAGGTCTCGTTCGCCACTTCCAACACCAAATAATCTGGAACGTAGCTTAGAGACTCGGCGATCTAAACGGATACGCCAAAATGATGATTTAAGCGAAAAGCTTGGTATTGATATCGATACCAGTGGCACAACGAGTCATTCAAACTCTCCTTCGTCTTCCCCTTCTATACGTTGTAATGATAGTATGAACTTTTTGGAACTATCTATACGCACTGAAAGGACGCAATCACATTCGCGTTCCCGCTCACGTTCACCTTTACCTACGGCAGAAAATTTAAAAACTGGCTTAGAACACCGGCGCCAGAAAAAAATACAACAAAATGATGAACTATTTCAACAATTACATATAAGCATACCACCTATTGCAGATGATGATTCTAAACTTTTGGAAAGAAAGTGCATAACTGCTCCCGTTATTTCAATACAGTGCTGTGATGAAGAGTGTCTTGAAGATTCGCTTGAAATACCTCTTGAAGATAGCGCTGATACCCTTGAAAGCATGATTACATTGGTAGAGACATTGCGCTTACAGCGTTCTCGATCCAAATCACCAATGCGGAGACTCGAACGGGAACGTACACCAGAACCAAGTAAAACACGGGCAGACATAATTGAATCTGATCAATTAAACGACAGAGAATATGAGCATGAGAAAAGATCATGCACACCATCGCGATCTATTTCCATTTCGCCAACACTTTCGAATGAAGATATTGATTTTCATATAATGTTGAACCTGGAGTCCTCACAAAATAGAACGCTCTCCAAGTGCAGCGAAGAAATGGAAAGTATTTTAGCTGAGAAGCAACGTCAAGTGGACGCAGAGGCTTTAAGTAAGTTGAGCAATGCTAGTGAAGAAGTAGAACTCCGTACTGTAACACCAGTCTCCCCCTATGAGATTGGAGATAAATACAAATTGATGGCTTTGCCAATCGAGGAAAGTCTGCGACAACGTCGATGCTCTCCAACTACACCTGACTATGATCGCACCATTTCCCAAGAGTGGAGTGATACTCAACGAATCAAGGATACAATGCTGACGACTGGATTTAAGCGTTCCACTTACGTTGGCGAATCGTTAGACCTGGGCAGTGAATTTGCGTCATTACGTGAAGAAAATGCACGGTTTCAACGATCTAGTAGTCCTTCACCCTCACTTATTTACGTAGAGTCACGCGAAAAGGCCAACGAACGGCAGTTGGAGCAAGACAAAATATTGTCCGAATTAATTTCTGTGTCCAAACAAGTAGATGAGGAACGTATGGGCGCCAAACCAAAATCAATAGACACGAGCACGAGGTCAAAGGAAATACAACAATCAGAATTCGAAAGTCGCTCCCCACTTAATGAAATAGAAGCTAAAGAGTTTGAGCAAATAGAAGAAGAGGCAACAGAACGGGAGCTACAATACAGAATAGCTGATATAGAGAAAGCAAATATTAATTTTCAAGAATTCTCACGCTATCTAAATGCCGGATTTTTAGATAATGAACGCAGAGCTTCAGACTCAGCGCTCATACAGAAACCAGAAATCATGATACAATTACAGGAGCTGGAGGAAGATTTTGAATTAGAACCAGAGAATTATCACCATTTTCGACGCTTTTCATTGAATCAGGAAGAGTCGGTTGAAGAGTATCCAAATGATGATTATGTTTATGTATCCCAAATTGAAGTACAAACACCTAGTGGTACTCGCACCTGGATACGGGAGGATTTCTATAGTGAAAACTTCGAAGAGTTAAGTATATTCCAAGAAGTGGGTAGTGCAAATGCTGCGCTCAAATTAGATGCAGTGAACGAAGCAGCTGAAATACAAATCCCCGTCCCAGAAGACGAAGATACCGATGGCAGCGAGGACGAACGTCAAACTATTGTAGAGGTAGATGACGAAATAGATGAGGATATTTGTGATTTTAATGAACGTGGACCAGCTGATGAGTCTCATCACGAGCAATCTGAGTGCGAGGAAGCAGATCGCGAAATAGATCACTATGCTAACAGAGATGCAGATGACTGGCAAAGACTGGAAAATATTGAAGAATATCTGGCTAATGTTGAAGGTGCGGTCGGTGGTGATGTAGACGTTTTAGAGTATGATTCCGATTCTGCAGCAATTGATGAGATCTACGATGATGCGATTAAAAATCGAAAGCAATCTGGAATTCAGCGTGATTATGACAATATTTTAAATGAGATGCAAAAGAACTATATGATGAATGCAGTTAGAGGCAATGGTAGCGAGGCAGACATGAGTGGAATGAGCGATAACGACCGCACAACTGTTGAAGAAAGTCAAAAAGAAAAATCGTTAATACCAAAATTGATAAGAAACGAGCGACATGAGAATGAATTGCGATATCTTGGAGATGCAGCAAATGCTGAAAGAAAATCCGCTCGACTGCGAACACGTTACGGTTATATGCCTCAACATCATCATAATAGCACGGAAGAGCTAGACTTTGAGGTAGATCTGAACTATACACCAAAAAAAGAGTACAATTGGCGTAAAAACTTTAAGCTCGACGAAGGTGAGATAAATGTAAAAGAAAAACAAAATATCCCCACAAAAGGAGAAACAGATAAAAATGAAACCACAATAGATGAATATTTGGAGCTAAGAAAATTCAGCCTGGGCGGCGAGAGCATAACGATATTTAGTCAAGGTTCTGAGGGAATTTGTTACATTGCCAATGAAAACCAAGAGGTCGTTGACACTAAACAGGAGGGTACAGAGTGCTCAAAGTTTGGGGAGAAATTATTACACTTTGAAGGAATGGATGAAGAGACAATTTTGGAGAAGCCAAAGAAAAAGAAAAGTAAAAAGAAACAGCACAGAGAGTCAAGAAACAATAGCATGGAATGTTATACAAAAGATCAATACGACTCCGAATCACAAGTCAACAGTAGACGTAATAGTAGTAATTCAACTAAATCCGCAAAATCGCGTTCACGACGTAACTCCAGAAATAATGATGAAGTTAATGTAGGTATATTCTCGCCAAGTGAAAGAGTTTTAATTGAAGAGAGCAATGCTTCAAACTTAATATCCGCCAATAAGAAAAAACTTAAAAAGCGTAAGAAGACAAAAGAAACTTTCAATAATAAAGAATCAGAAACTAAGGATGAACTTACAAAAGTGGAGAATGATAACTATTTCGATTTATCTGTTAAAGTAGCAACTGCTTCAGCAGCAGTTACACCCGACACCTGTAGCATTAATCCACTTGCTAGCCTTAGCCCACAGGATAGTATATGCACCCCAAGCAGCTCAATTGACTCAGAGACGTCTATACTGGCGGAATTAATAAGTGTCCCCTCTTCGGCAGAAGCCTCCCCAATGCAACGTGAAGTATGCACACCCCCTGTAGATATGGCAACTTCAGCCACAACAGATGCCTTAATATCACAATCAACTATTACAGCACCAAAAAGCACAAAAGTTGACACATTCGATATATTAAAGGATGCAAATTTTTATCCGCTTTTCTAAATGGTTTTGCAAGCAGCTTTTATGTTATAGTTACTTAAATAAGTACATATGCACATATATAACAAAGACATACAGGTATGCTCCTGCGTGTAAATATTTGTCTTGTAGTGTTTTTTGCTTTAAATGTTCTGTTATTAGTTCTTTTGTTACTCATCACGTGTATTAAATTCTATTTATTATTATTGTATGTTACATTATGTATTTACTGTCTGTGATTTTATTTGTATTTTTTAGACAGTTGAAAAGGCTTGATACCTTTTATAGCTTCGCGCCGCACCTGCTCCTGCACCTGCATCTACACCTAGCTTACAGCAACCTAAAAATATACATGTATAGACATAAATATGACATAAGTTCATACAAAAATGAAGCCACATCAATAGAAATCATCAACTCTCAGAAGTATCGAACTTTTATACGAAATACGACCAGCAAATACCGAAATTCTCCAACATGTATATTTAAGTATATATTAGGTTTATATATTATGGAAAACTATGTACATATTTCGCATCTGATGCTAAGATTGGAGCGTAGTATTTCTGCATGACGATTTCAGGAAAACGAAGAAATATATCAGTGGCCACAAGCTGTAACCTTCACAGTGAATTCACAGTCCAATCAACCAAAAACATAGCTATTGAGCTGATGAAATCTATCCTATGAAAGCGTGCTGTAAATGAATATTTACCACCGCTTAGCTCAGGTGACGGCTCGGTTTTTTGAATAAATTGTAAATAAACTATGCGAATGCAAACATAACTTTTGACGATGTTTTCTTACAATCGGAAAGTACGGATTGAAAGTATGTTAAATGGTTAGTTGACCTATTAGGCCGAATCAGTCTCTGTGTATCAAAACCTAAGTGATGTTAGATGTCAGCACATATTGTAGTTATGCGTAATAAAGCTAGTAAATTTTGTATGGAGTCATTTGAAATTTAAACCGTTAAACCTTTTAAAAAATTAAGAAAAAAAAGCTTTGATTGTTATGTCTTGTGAACACGGATATATAAACTTTTAATATATACATATAAATATATGTAGATTAACTAAGTATTTACTAAAACTTCAAACGAAGATGCAAATAAAAATTGTTTTTAAAAGAAATAATTTTTAAATACAATACTTTCATCAGTGGTGGTATTTAATCCAAATGTTTACCTTAGGCATTCTTTAAACTGCAAATCGAGTAATAATGTGCGTACTAAAATTGAACTTTTAGTCAGTTAGAATTAGCCAGTAACGAAATTGAGGGGATTATATGGCTTACTCAGATGGCAAAATATAATATGTTTTCTAATAGTTCTTTAATTCGACGAAGATTTATGTAGAACTTGCTTTGCAACATTGTGTCACCTAGATTTAAAATTCTTAGAATAGGTGCTTGAAACACGAAAATGAGCTTGGAAGTATTTTTCCGTATTATCCAGCAATGTTAACTGAGTATTATAGAATTTCTTGAATTCTCTTTGCGTAAAATCGGAATCGTAATCGTAAAGTCAGATAAGCCTTTCTTCGCACTGTTTTGCGGCTCATTTGGCCGACACTGCTTTCGAGTAAATTGATTACATTGTAAAAAAAATTACAATATCCTAAAATTCTATGCCTTCGGTATTCGAAACTTCCGATTCCTCAATGAAATATATGGTGTGCGTGCAGATGATTCCATTCCACTTGAACATTATTATCGTTCAACTTATTACTATATACCATTTTTTAAGCATCTTCGCTTATATCATTATTATCATTAAACAAAATAAATTACATTTGCTTATCTCTTGTGGTAGTGAATCATTCATACTAAAGTATTAATTAATTTTAAGCAACTTTTATTTTGTTGACAAAAATCAATCATTTGTTGGTTTGCTGGCTAATTCATACTGGCTGAAATTTTTTTGTTGAAATTATGTTAAATTGTGCTTCCTCCTTGCAAAAAAAAAAAATTACTGCCCAGCAGTTCACCGAAGAAAAGAATTATCTATATGTAAAAAGTAGGATTGGTTATCTGCTACATCCGCGTCATATGCTTGGATTTTGTAGTTAAGGTTTATAGTCGTTTCTTATGAGTTAAAACAAAAATTCTTCTTGTTGTGATCTTTGTGAAAATTTAATGTTGTGCTTTAATGCAGTACAAAATCAACATCATTTGTTTCCAAAACACTGTTCTTGTAATTTGGTTGGTGAAAATTAGCCTGAAGAAAGTCTGTGAAAGTCGATTGTTTTGATCTGTGGTGCACGTGTTGAAGTTTTCTAGTTAATGGAAGGACCCGAGTTTATTCTAAGCCGCCTCCGAACGGACACTTGAATTTTATGAATTTTTATTTCATGTCAGAAAAATACCATTTTAACTAATATATGTACATATGTATGTACTTGGAAAGCGCAAGATGTCACATTACTTTCATAACAGAATGTTCTGTTCTAATTTATAAATAGTTTTTATTTTTAATAATATTTAAAAATATCTTTTCAGATTTTATTTTAAAAGCTTGCAATCTATTAATATATTTTTCCAAGAAATTCAAAGTGAGAATGTCGCCCACATTCTTTTTAATTGTTTTGCCTTATCCCTGTTCGTCGGTTTAGTTGAAATAATGAGTTTTATTACGAATTATGTTATGATGTGTGCCTACCTTAAACTGCAAAATTGAAGTCAAAACTATGCACACCTTTGGCTTCACTTTTTTCAATAGTCCTATAAATATTTTTTAAAAAAGATATTGAACAATCGTGGATTATACACAACCTGTTGTTGCTCATGTGTGTATGTATTTATTAACCTTCGAAAAGAACATTATATTGCCATGTCGGCAGTATAATATACGAGTACTCGTAATTGGTTAATACATACAATGTACATACATATGTATGTACCTACATTTCGGCAATGTATTCTAGCAATAACAACTCACTGATTTTGCAGATTTTTGAATTTTATATTCATAATTTATTTAACTCGGACCAAGTTTTATGCGTATCGTGCAAAACAATTAATGAATGCTCTAATTCTCTTATATACATATATGAAAATATACAAATGCATACACATTTGTAAAGAAGATTCTTTATTCGGCAAATGACACAACAATGCCGTAAAAATGTGAATAAAATTACATAGGCATAAGTGAATTCGTTGGATCAAGGTAGTACAAATTCTGGTGAAACCAAACAAGCATCGGTCAACTGACTGTAATTTAAGGGGTCATACATAGGATGAAAATATTATATAATTTGTGGAAGGCTCATTTGCTTCAAATTTGAAAATTGTTCTATAAATATTTTTAAAGGTATTGTTTTCAAAGCCAGTGATCCCAATTTCTCAGAAATGGCTCAACTGATCTCTCTAAAATATATTCTTATTGTATTTCTCAGAAATGGCTCAACTGATCTCTCTAAAATATATTCTTATTGTATTGAACGAAAGAGTAAATTAAAAAAAAAACAAAATCGCTATTTCAAAAATATCAGTCGGAAAGGTGCTTTGTAATCGCTGAAGCGATTTTCGGCAGAGCTCCTCCTCCGAATTGTGGTTTTGCGACTTGATGTTTTTCAAACAAATGAAGTTACCTATAATTTTTAAGTTAAGCCGCCTCAGGACGGCTGATGATTATTTTATGAAGGGTTTCTTTTATGTCAGAAATACACTCGGAGGGGTTGACATTTCCTGCCGACAGCCGACCGCAATTAGAAAATTTAGCTTAATGTTTTGTTTAAATTAATTTTCTATAACTTGTTGTATGTTAATACGACATCAGGAGTTGCAACTGAGCTTTCCGGATGGCAGTGATAACCACTCGGCTACCGCGGCTGCCAAAATACTAATGTTTTATTGTTTCTTCGTTAAAAACATTCCGAAGTCTATCACTTAAAATAATCCACCCTCTGCTCACCCTCTGGTTCCTTTTTTCCTTGTATATTTATTAATTGAAAATGGAAACTTTTTATTGATTGATAATAAAATCGGAAAGTTGAAGTGGATTATGTTACTCTCATCATAGTTAATGAATTATGCCTTTTTCTGGGATTTTGGTAAATTTAAATTTTTTAGATGGTTTTACTCAATTTTGAAATTCCATCTATACGTATTTAAACATTTTTGTCGAGTGTCTTGCACGGCGGAAAAACGGAGGAGTGAATTTGTCAAGCCCTTTATAATGTAAATATACCAAATACGGTATAGTCGGGTGTAATAAAAAACATTTTAAAGTGGAAAAAAATCAAGAATAATTTAGAAAAGAACCGATAAGTCAAGCATCTATTTTTAGATGAAAACGCGAGCTGTAGCTATTATATGGATGTTTACATCGAAACAAAATGTCTGGTATGTAACATGTATGTACATATGTACATTGGTCTTTTTGTTTATATAATCAGAGTGCTACTAAGCGATCTTACACTAGCCCAGAAATCACACATATGTTATAAGAAACTTTAAATAAAAATGTCGTTCTTTGTATTCGTGCATAGGTACGTATGGCTGAATACCGCATATTGACTATCTTTAACGTATTCTATTAAATTTTGTTCTGCATGTTTCAGGTATTGTATTTAGATGTTATTATCGCGAAAATCTTGTTGGCTGGCTTTATTGTATTATATTATTTGTATTATTTGTAATGCAGCAATACGAATACACATGAATATTTTATAAAGTCAGTAAGGGTGAGTTCCAAAACGCCAGTTGCAAAGCAACCATAGATTGTCACGCATTCCTGAATTCAACTGTGCAAACGTTGACGATGTATCATGTTCCGAAATGCATCGGTAAAGTTGTTGATGCACAAACAAAAGCAAACTACGCATCGTTAAGGTTTGTGATGCTTTATTTTATCATAAATTTTTAACAACATTGGCCGACGTTGGAGGGTAAATTTTTTGCCCTAATTTTTTTTTTAACATTAAATTACTTAGTTTTTGATCTATTTTACATATTAGCCTTTACACCGAAAAACAACAATTTTGAGCGGGAAGCGTTCCAAAATGTCAGAGTTTGCAAAGTATTGTTGCAATGCAAATTTATAGAATGCAGGATTGCATTGTAATGATGTGGTTGCGAAGTATTTTGACGTTTTGGAACTCGCCCTAACTGTATATGTCACATATATCTTCATAGTATGTATGTACAATTATATCCATATATCAACGGTTTCTTATTATAATAATTGACGCTTTGTAACACCAGAAGCACTTTTGCGTTTAGGAAAGGCTGATGGATTTCCATAAGAAGCTTTTTGTATCGTCTCGAAAATATCTCAGGGGTTGACATTTCTTCCAAGGTGATGTTGGGTGTAATTGTAGTTACAGTGTCATATCCTCATCGCACTCTCATGAAACAAGAGCAACACACCCCTGCATATTCGGTGTAAGGGTTCACTGAAATCTTATTGCGTTGTCTATTCATCAAGGGTGTGACCGCGAGTCGGCTTCGAAATTTTTACCCTCTCCACACTTGAAATAAACAAAAACAAACGAGCTGCAAATGTTGACCGTGACTGCACCTCAAAACTTCCATCTGCTTAGTCCAATTTTGCTATCTCTTTCCAGCATTTCGGCCGGTATCTAAAGAATAAAGGCTTCAATGTTATCCTCCAATACATCAATTTAAGCGAGCTTGTCTGTATATACATTATATTTAACATAACCCCACATAAAATAGTCTAAAGGCGTTAAATCGCACGATCTAGGCGGCCAATTGACCGGTCCTGAACGTGAAATAAAATGTTCACCGAACTCGACGAATCGATAATTGATGGCCATCAACTCGACGTAAGCGTGTAGGTGTTTAATGTCCAACATTGGTGCGAAATTTAGTCACAACTGCCCGAATAGCAAGGGGGTCGATTAAATCGACCATAAAATGGAAGAAGCGCGCGATGAACTTTCTTAACAGAGCACGCATTTTGAAATCAAAAATCAATAATTTGCAAGCGTTGTTCATTTGTAAGACTCATTCATGGTTAAATTACAGACCAGACCGAATATGTTTGACAGTGATACAAAACACGAAACGTGCGTCAGCTGTTGAAACCAGTGTTGCCAAAAAATAATAGTAAAAAAATAACCCTTCAGATTATTGGTTGAGCTTTTCAGATATGGCAAGCAAATTACAA